GTTTTACTTATAAATAGGGAATTATTAAATTTGGTAAAGATGGAATAATTGCCACGCCTTCTACTCTTGTGGGCAGAAACATTAAATTTCATCCGATTTCGATGAAATTTAGTTTGTAATCTCTCCTTTATTAGAAAAACCTAAATATAAAATATTGGGAAGATTGGGTCACAACATCCAAAACTCACAAAAAATGTGGGCCCAATCATTAAATGTGATGAAATTTTGGTTAATTTTTGTTTCCCGTTTACACTCTCAGAAAACAAAGGTTATACTATAAAATTACTAAGGTATAAATACTCGCTTATTTCCCAATGTTTAGTGAGATTTTTTCATTGTTCGAAAAATTCTTCTCGCGAAATTATGCAAAAAGAAGCTGAAAATCAAAAATTAAGAAAATCAAAAATTTCATATATTTGCAAAGCCGCGCGCAAAGATCAAATTATATATTCGAAATCATCATAAAATTCTCCAAAACATTCGTCTAATTTCAAGACCTGACGGACCGGTACTCACACTGTTTTTTTTAATAATAATCTTTAGCATCTACATTTCAAAGTAACTTTTTTGGTAAGAAAATAGGAAAATACCAAATAAATGATAATACCTTCACCTGAATATTTCACGACATGTAAATAATTAATTACAGTTTAAAAAACAAACACTTTTTTGAATGGGTTAATCGGCAAAGGCAACTAAACTGATTAGTCGGTATCGCGCCCATTCCCGTATTTTTTGAAAATGTATCGTTCGTGAAGAAGGGAGTGAGTAAGAATGTAAAATTTGGTATTTATGACGTTTACTTTTCCCTCACTAAGGCCAGCTGGTTTTTTTTATCAACTGTTACCGTGACTTTTTTTACCTGTCTCCATATAGTCGAAACACTGTGCGCCGCTTCAAATTTTTCACAATTGAGCAATTGTCAAAAATCTGCTTTTTAGTCAAAAATTTGTTTATTGGAACTACCTTCTTTTTTGCATATATCCAATACTCCTATATTGGCAGTAAGGCCTAGTACCGTCCGAAAACACTACAGTACAGATATATCTATAAACACGTGCGAAAGAGGAAGAACACATACGTTTATAAATAAACATGTACACAACACATATACAAAAACGGCCCTCAAGTACACAATACATTGACAAAAACGGTACTAGACTGTCTCGCTTTGATTTCGGAATGCTTACACATTGAGAAGTTAGCTTAATGTCAATATAGTAGTATTACATATCGTTGGCTTAGTTCGCAAACGTGCTAAGTCCATTTTTTTTCAGGAGGGACAAAAACCGTCTAACTATTTTTATTGTCAATATTTTTCTAATCTGTAAATGCAGTTTTATTCCTTAGTTCGTCTTGTTTTAGTACCAATAATCGGCCAATTTCAAAATAAAGCTGTTGCAGACTTATAGGCTCTTTTAGGACTTACCACATTTTCTCTTTAAGATTTTATTCTTTTAATGTGGAGTTGCACATTTTCTATCAACCTTTTTGCCATTATTTTTTATTGTTAAAAGATTTAATTGTTTATTTTAAATATATTTTATTGTTCTAAAATGAATTATAACCTAATACAGTTTTATTTCATTGCTATTAACAAAAATAACTATTTTAAGTCATAAATTTATGTACCATTTATAAAAGAAAATAATTAAAAGTAAGTAAAGAGGTATACGTCGGCCGAAACCGAACTTTATATACACGGCGCAGGTGTCAAATACTGTCGTAAGCAGGGGCTTTTTTCCCCGATTTCAAACGTTTTCGATAATATCCTGAGTTAAACTCAATGAAATAATTGAACCACGTTTAGTAGAAATCGCTAAAGTGGCTACCGAAATACACCTTGTAGTCATAAAGTGGGCGATGTCACGCAGTTTTATTTATTATTAAGAGGTTGTTGTAAGTATTAACTTGGAGTAAATCAGCGTCTTCAGTTATTGAAATATCAGAGTTTCTGTATTTCTGAAATTTACCGTTAGATATACGGGAAGCGAATGTAATTTTGGTCCGATTTGAATAATTTTCAACGAATTGCTTTTCCGTACCAGGTTTATTAAGTGCACCGAGTTTGGTAGAAATTGATAAATCGGTTACCGAGTTGCACATTTGTGGTCATAAGTGGGCGGCGCCATGCCCATTATCCAAAAATGTATCATAATCTAATTTTCTGGTGAGTGGTTATCGCGATCATCGATTTTAAGTGAATTAGATTTTCAACAGATTTCTTAGCTAGACCCTAAATAAGGCTCGTACCGAGTTTGGTGAATGGGCTACTGAGATACAGCATTTCATAATAGGTGGGCGGGGTCACGCCCATTTTCCAAAAATTGCACAATAATATTTTTACAAAAGTTCTACTTCACATACTAATTTTGAACAATTTGCATCCAATATTTACTGAAATATCGTAGTTTTTGCATCTTTAGAAAATACCTTTATATCGGAAATGGGCGTGGTTACATTCCGATTTGCCCATTTTTAATACCAACTTACCTTGGATAAAGGGCAACCTACATACCAAATTTCGTTGAGATATCTCGAGTTATCGTGTACACGGACAGACGTGTATATATTTTTTTTTTGATTTTTTTAGACTTAGCACATTTGCGTACTAAGCATAGGTTACAAGGTCTTATCGAGCGTATTGTGCGAAAGACTGAAGCCCACCGTCAACGAGCTGATTGGACCTTATCAGTGTGGCTTTAGGCCTGGAAAATCCACCATAGATCAGGTATTCACAATACGCCAAATCTTGGAAAAGACCCGCGAGAATAGGATCGACACACACCATCTATTTGTCGATTTCAAATCCGCTTTCGACAGCACGAAGAGAAGTTGCCTTTATGCCGCGATGTCTGAATTTGGTATCCCCGCGAAACTAATACGGCTGTGTAAAATGACGTTGAGCAATACCACCAGCTCCGTCAGAATAGGGAAGGACCTCTCCGAGCCGTTTGATACCAAACGAGGTTTCAGACAAGGGGACCCCCTTTCGTGTGATTTCTTTAATCTTATGTTGGAGAAGATAATAAGAGCCGCAGAACTGAACCGCTCAGGCACAATACTTTATAAGAGCGTACAATTGCTGGCGTATGCCGACGACATCGATATTATCGGTAAAAACAAGGGCTACGTCTGTTCTGCCTTCTCGGGATTGGATAGAGAAGCAAAGCGAATGGGTCTGGTGGTGAACGAGGACAAAACGAAGTATCTCCTGTCAGCACACAAACAGTCAGAGCATACGCGTCTTGGCACCCACGTCACTGTTGACAGTTACAAGTTTGAAAAAGTAGACGACTTCGTTTATTTGGGAACCAGCATTAACACCAATAATAATGTCAGCCTTGAAATCCAACGGAGAATCACTCTTGCCAACAAGTGCTACTTTGGGCTGAGTAGGCAATTGAGAAGTAAAGTCCTCTCTCGTCGTACAAAGATCACACTCTATAAGTCACTCATCATGCCTGTGCTGGTGTATGGCGCGGAAGCATGGACAATGAAAGCATCTGATGAGGCGGTTCTTGGAGTTTTCGAGAGAAAGATTCTGCGAAAGATTTACGGACCTTTACGCGTTGGTGATGGCGAATATCGCAGACGATCTAACGATGAGCTGTATGAGCTTTACAACGATATAGACATAGTGCAGCGAATTAAAATTCAGCGGCTCCGCTGGCTTGGCCATGTCGTTCGGATGGACAGAAACGCTCCTGCTCTGAAAATATTCAACGCGGGCCGCGATGCTGGTAACAGAGGAAGAGGAAGGCCTCCTCTGCGTTGGAAAGACCAGGTGGAGAAGGACTTGGCTTCACTTGGCATTTTCAATTGGCGTCAGTTAGCACAGAAGAGAAATGACTGGCGTGCTGTTTTGGACTCGGCCAAAATCGCTTAGGCGGTTACAGCGCCAAATAAGAAGAAGAAGACATTTGCGTACCAATGCATAACAACAAGTAATAACGACATTACAGTAATTTTGTTTTTTGGTAATGATGTATTTTCAGTTATGCTATCTTACTGCATCAAAATCTCAATTTACATAAAAAGTGGACTTAGCACGTTTGAGAACTAAGCCAACGATATATGCTTTTTTGTATCATGTTTTCATACGTACTTCGAACACATTTATATTATAAATTTTTTTCTCAAAGCATAAATTGCACAAGTGAGACTATTTATTCCAACAGTACTTATGCGAGGTATTTGCGTAATATGTATATATATTAGCCATCCTTTTTTAAGTCCGTGCAAGGGTTTTGCAAGACTCAGAGCATATCCCTAATGTGTGGAAGAGGACTGTACATTAGGGTGGTCCAAAAATGCATGTGGAAAAACTAAAGTTGGAATTTTTATGCTCTCACCCTCTCGGGTTGTTCTATACCGAAAAAATATACCCCTATTTTTTATTTTGAAATCAAAAAGTCTAGAGATCTCTCAAAGCGCTCAAAGCTTTCCATGTGTTTTATATGGGGAAAAAACAACATTTCGTAAAAATGGTATAGAATTCTTAAAAATCAATATTTTTCGATCAGAAAACCCTGTTTCTCTTCAGAAGATCCCCAATAATAATACCCAATTATTTATTTAACCATTTTTCATAGTAACTATATTTTGTAGGTCCGCTAAAACCCGCAGGAAATGCAATGGTAGTACATATTAAAAAATGGTTAAATAAACAATTGGTTATTGTTGTTGCAACTCTCCTGAAAAGTTCGATCGAAAAATATTGATTTTCAAGAATTTTATACCATTTTTTCGTAAAGTTGTTTTTTTATCCACATAAAATACATGGAAAACTTTGGAGCGATTTGAGCGACCTATAAATATTTTTTGATTTCAAAATAAAAAAAAAATTGGGGTATACTTTTTTTGATATAGAACAATCCTAGGGTGGAGAGCATAAAAATTCCGACTTTACTTATTTTGGACTACCCTACTGTATACACATGTGCATATGTACATAGATTAATTCATGTAAGTGTATACCAATTTTTTTACCATTACAGTTGCTTCAGTTGTGCAGTTAGTGTTCTTATATCCATTATAAGCACATTTTTCGTGGTATTTCTTATAGTCACTGTAATAGTATATTTTGTTTACTATCAAGAGCGTGAAAATGATTCAACAAGCAAAATAAAGGACGAGCTAAAAGATACTTTTGACAGTGGACTGGACAAAATAAAAGATGCTTTATCAAGGAAATAAGGTAAGTTAACATTGCCTTCTCGCTGAAATATAATTTTAGCGTGTGGGTTTACATTAAAACAGTTAAGCTCCTCAATGATTAGTATGAGCTCGGAAATATGGTTTTTTTACAAACTCAGATTTTTTAGTTAAATCATTGGAGAACATTTGCGATAGCGCATTTTGCGATCTACCTTATTTGAAAAACATCATTGTTGCCCACACTAAAAGGTTTACTGCTAGGGAAAAGGGATATTTCCATACCCTTGATACCATATGTTGTCATTAGGAAAAAGTGTCTTTGGCAACCATACAAAGACGCATTCAACGTTTCCTTAAAGAGGGCGAAACGCGAATCTTGGCAAAATTTGTGCAACAAAATAAAAGAGTTCTCTCGAAATCCTCTTCAAGTATGAACTCTATCCAGAAGCCTAACGGTGACTGGACGACATCATGTAACGAAATGCTGGAGGTCCTTATGAGCACTCAATTCCCGGGCTGCTCGGACGACACCTCCTGTTTTTCACACGGTCCTAGGACCTACTTGTCTCTGGGTGATACCGTTAGGGACGTCGTAAGTGAGGAGAGGGTGGAATGTGCTTTAATGTCCTTTCAGCCCTACAAATCTCCTGTCCTTAACGGAATCTTTCCCGCTCAACTACAGGAAGCTAAGGACATACTGTGTCCCCTGCTTTCTCAGATTTTTACAGCCTGTCTAACATTGACTCAAATACCACACGAGTGGACAAAGGCAAAGGTTGTGTTATGTGGGATGACTGTTGGCAAAGGCGTGGCGGTTTCCAGGCATGGTTGCGG